AATTTTTTTTTTTTTTCTTCTTTTTTCTCTGTATATAATTATAAGTTACTATTCCTTTTATTAAGTATAATAAGAAAAGAAGAAAAAAGGCAATTAATTTGTCTTTTTTTTCTTTTATTTCTTTTATTATTTATATAATAATAAATATAATTATTTATTTAATTAATTAATAAAATAAATTTTGTATAAAGTTATTTATATCTTTATGCATAAGAAGAAGAAAGGGGAAAAAGAGAAAAAAGAACTAAAAAGAAAAAAAAAAGAAAAAAAAAGAATACAGTAAAAAAGAATTAATAAAAAGAGTCAATAAAAGAAATATATTTATTTATTTATTTATTTATTTATTTATTTATTTATTTATTTATTTATTTTTTATGGTGTATTCCTTATCATGACAATTGGGGTGTATAGGCAGCTGCTTCGTGCATTCATTTCTTTTTTTCTTCTTTTTCTTCCTTTTTTCCCCCTTTTTCTTTTATTTAAAGAATAAAAAGAATATATTTATATTTTTATTTAATTATTAATATGATTTATTATAAAAGGTCATATATTAAGACAGCAGCAGCAGCAACAGCAGCAGCAGCAGCAGCAACAGCAACAGGTTTCTTATTTTTTTTTCCTGTTTGTCTTTCTTTACAACCTTTTCGTTTCTCTAGGAGTCATACAACATTAGATAGAGATAAAGTAAGTCTTTTTTATTCTTTTTTTTTTATTTATTAATTAAATAAAAGAAAAAAGGAGAAAAAAAGAAAAAAAAAAGAAATAAATAATTATTTATTGTTTATAGACACCTCCTCCTTACCCCATCATTAATGTACACCTAGGTAAGGAGAAAAAAAAAAAGAATTAATTAATTAATTAATTTATTTATTTATTTATATTTATTTATTTATTTATATTTATTTATTTATTTATTTATTAATTTATTAATAAAGAAGAAGGAAAAATACCTAACGAAATAGAAGAAGAAATGTATTTATTAATAAAAGAAGAAAAAAAAAGACAAAAAAAAGAAGAAAAAAAAATAAATAAAAAAAGGCAATTCTTTCAGGATATAATGGGGAGTGTAAGGAAGAAAAAAAGAGAATAAATTAATTAATTTATTTATTTTATTAATTAATTTTATTAATTAATTGTATTTATTTAATTAATTAGTCATCTATTAACAAATATAATTAATTTATTTATTTATTTATTTATTTGTTTATTAATTAATTAATTTATTTATTTATTTATTTATTTATTTATTTATTTATTTATTTATTTATTTACTAATAAACAGCAACAACAAGAAGTTGAATTTCTTACGGATTTACAGCAAACACTGAAGGAATAAAAAGGTACTTATTTATTTATTTATTTATTTATTTATTTATTTATTTATTTATTTATTTATTTATTTATTTATTTATTTATTTATTTATTTA